ACCCCACCATCTCATGGCTCTATGATCCCTCAGGTCCCTTCCCACCCAACCACCCCATGGCTCTATATTGCATCCCCACTTCCTCACCATTCAGCCCACCAATACGGTGGAGCAATGGGGCCAGCACACCTCACCACGCCACATGCACCCAGCAGCAGTTCCCAGCCCTACACACGCAGCCAGGTGAGACAGGCAGGGCCCTGTGCCAGCAGACACGATGCCTTCTTGCACAGCCTTCGGCAGCTTTGTTTCCCACAGCAGCTGCCATGAAGAAATGCAAATTCATTCTTCTCCTCCGTTGCTTTTTTTTCTTCCCCCCACGTGCAAATGATTCTCGGGCATAACGGCCCCAGAGCGTGGGAGCCACGGGGTCAGGGAGAACCCGTGAGCCGCTCTGATGCCCTGGGAGCCCAGGGCAGCACACGGTGCCCCGCAGCAGGAGAGGCTCTTGGGCACAGCTCCCCACAGTCCTGTGCTGTCCTCCCCAGGAGAGCCAGCAGAAGGTTCTGTCCCAGGTGGGAATCCATAAAAATCAGCCTCAAAAGCCGCAGTGTTGGCTGGAAGTGAGAGCTGGCAGGGCTGGGTGGGAAGGGGTGGCAGGAGGTGAATGGTGCTCAGCCATCTCTCCCCAGGCTCACAGGAGCCACAGCTCTTTGAGACCAGAAAATCCCAAAACTGTCCTGCAAGGGCTGGAGCTCCCAGGGAGGGGGGCAAACCCCCATTCTGAGCTCCATACAGAGCTCAGATCTCTCTGCCCGTGGGGGATGAGGCCACTCCGTGCACTGCAGCTCCAGGGCAAAGGCATTGCTCTCCAGCACTGAGCATCGCACATTTATAGAGAGGTCATGGGGACAACCACACAGGGCTCAGCGCAGAGCAGCTGGGGATGAGCAATGCACAGGGAGCTGTGACTCAGCCCTGAGTCACCCAGTTCCTAAGGAGATGTGTTGTTCTGATAAGCATCACCCAGGTCTGACACTGCAGCCCCCATCCTGCCCAGCAGCACCTACACCTGGGGGGCTCAGTGGAGACCCAGGGTGGCAGGACTCCAAACAAGGAAAGAGGAGGCCCAGCACCCCCTCCCACCTCTGCAGGTAGTTGCTGCTCCCCAGCACACACAAGCTGCCCTCTGATCCAGACCTCCCCCCATGGAGCTTCAGCACCACGAGAAGCCCCCCCACAGCCTGGATGGGGGGAAAGAAAAAAACCATCAGTGACATCCTATGGGAAACAAGCACCGTTCCATCGTGGTCTCACAGGATAGAATACTAAAGCAGACAGCAATTAATGCCCTCTGTTCTCTTGCAGAAGCCAGGCTCCAACCTCAGCCACAAACATGACCCCAAATGGGGCACCCTCACCCCAAACCCAATTCTCCCCATCCCAGTGCTGGCTTGGGCCCCAGTGCAGCAAGAACATGGCTTCTATTCTCAGCTGTGGATTTGAGGGCAGCAAAGTGTTTGTTCTGTCAACACGGGCCTAATCCTCAACCAAAAGCTGATGAAAAAAGCCATGGGGGGGAAGGATGGGAATCAGCTGCCCTTTTGAAACAAAGCCCTCACCGTGACACCCACAGCCCCAAAAGGAAGGAGGGCACCAGCACTGCCTGAGGCAAGCAGGGCAGGATCCCACCCAGGGATGTGCCAGTCCCCACGGACACCCACAACACCCTGCAAGGGAACAGGAGCCACCAGTGGGACCCCGACCGTTTGGGTGACAATATCGTGAGGTTTAGAGTTTGTCTGGTGAAAGTCCCGTGGCAGCAACACCAGGTCCCCACCTCCCTTCGGCCAACACAAAGCCGTTGGGCACAGACACAACCTGGGATTAGCAGCTGTCCCATGACACAGCCGTGACACCACCAGCCTGCCATGAAGGCGCTCACCAAGACTGGCATTTCCAGATGGGTCAGAAACCCTTTTCCTGGCGGGATGACTCAAAACTTTGTCATCTCAAGGTTCATCTTCAGCTCAGACACGGAGCACCTGACGCTGCTCACCCTGCGGTGGATCCCAGACCGACCCTGAGGACCATAGGTATCCCAGCCCCAATGGCACAGCTGCCACCAGCCCCACAGCACTGTGGGACCCACTCCTGCCCACTGATGGCATCAGCACCGCACCCTTGGCCCGCAAAAAGAAAAAAAAGGCAAAAGTACCTCTAGCAGTTTCCATTTGTTTGCTCTTTAAATAATGGCTTCCTTATCGCTACGTATGCAGATCCCTTTAAAATTCAGACAAACCTGCTTCTCAAGGCACCTGCCGTCCCACACCCCGTATTGCCTGCAGGCACTGCAGAACAGAGCAGCCCCTGTGCCGACCCAGCCTGGGATGGGGGTTCCAAAGCAGGGGGATTCCTCCTGGAGGCCTTTGAAAGCTCCCCAGCTGCTGCCATGTCCCCGTTGGAGCAGATGGAGCAGAGGTCTCTTCCTGCTGCAGCCACCCCATGTTTGGTGGGACACCAAGCTCCCCATCACCTCTTTGCCTTGAGAAGACAAAGCGGGATTTCCAATGGGAGATGCCACCCTTCTCTGTCCACCCTGACCCATGGCGTGGTGCACCATGGAAGTGGACAGCTATGAGCAGGAGATCTGGGGACGCTGGAGGTGCCACCACGTCCCTCTGGGCAGCCAGGCTCGGGGACATCACATCCTCACTGTACATCACGGGGAGGTCAGGGAGAACACATCGTGTCCTCAGAGTCAGACAGGGTCACCCCCAGGGTCACATCTGATGCCTCTCCAGGCTTCTGGGCTTTGCCACCACGGGCTGACATCACAGCCCAACCTGCAGCTGTCAGAATTAATTGAGGAAACTCCAGCACAGTAAACAACGAGGAGGGAAAATGGGGCAGATTAGATAACAGCAAGGTTCTCCTTCACTCCCCCTGCATGGAGCTCTTCAAGTCCCAGCCAGCAGTGCACAGCTTGGGTCGTGCTCCCTTGTTCTGCCAGGCTGGGGTCAACTCCATGTCCCCAGGGCCGGGTCTTCTGTCCTCCTGCCCCAGCACAGCTCCACCTCCTGCTCTGGGGCTCCAGCAGCACACAGATGTGGGTGTTTGGGGTCTACATCCCCACTGATGGACATCTCTGCCCTTCAGATATCCCAGCTCTGCTCAGCTTCCTCCCCAGCAGGTCACCTCCATGAGGGCAGCAGGAGGCTGGGTGACACCATGCCACTCCATGGCGTGGTGGGAGCAGCACAGAGTACACCCAGAAAAGTGTGACCACCTTCCCAGGCCAGGAGCAGGGCTGGCATCTGCTCCAGAAGCATCTGGGGACCCAGCACCATCATCAGCAAATCCCAAGGGCTGGGAGAGCAGCATCCCACCGCGGAAGGAATGCAGATGAGGAACACACTCAGCTCCCTCTGCTGGCACCTACTCCAGTCCAGGCCCAGGAATCGTGGAGATTTCACTACTGCAGATGAAGATGTAAACAAAACAAGGGAACACACCAAGCTCTTAAGCCAGCCCTGATCCCATAATATTTGGTGGAGCAAGCAATGCTGCTGCTTACCTGTGCGTGCCATTTGCTGCTGCACTTGGTTTCCAGTGCATGCTTTTACTCAGCTGTTCTATGAATGGGATCCGTTTGAGATTAAGTTCCCTTAAATCATTTCTGTCTAAATTAATTCCCATTAATGCATGGGCTGAGCACACAAATTACAGCTTACAGCAAGCTTCCAAAGAAATCCTCCACCAAAAGCTGTTTCCACACACGGAAAGTGTGAGAAGGAGCCCCGCCTGGGGGGCAAAAATACCAGCAGAGCCACACGTGCACGAAGCACCAGGGATGATGCAGGATTTCCTTGTGCAGCAGCCCCAGCAGTGAGATGACCTCCACTATAGCAATGGCAGCAGGTATCACAGAATGGTCCAGGTTGCAAAGGAGCACAGTGCTCACCCAGTTCCAACCCCCTCTGTGTGCAGGTCCCCAACCAGCAGCCCAGGCTGCCCAGAGCCACATCCAGCCTGGCCTTGAATGCCTGCAGGGATGGGGCATCCAGGAGTAGCCTGCCTGGGAGACAGCATGAGGAGGGAGGTGTGATCACACTGTCCTGCTCTGGTGAGCTTCTGACAGGTTGCAACCCTAAAGACAAACAGATTCTTTCAAGCAAATAAGCAGTCAATGAAAAGTTTGGTGGGGGGAGAGAAGGGGAGGCATCCCAACCTATCCAAACAGAGACTTGTTTTAAAGCCACCCGGGAGCACCCAGAGCTCAAGGGGTGCATTCTTTTTGTGGTGCAAAACAAACACCCATAGGCACAGATAGCAGGATGTCTCTTCCCCGTGAGGCTTTCAGTCAAGCTTAAACAGCACATGAGAGCTCCAGGCACTTATTCAAATGTTAAAAAGCAAACCCAGCACACACATATTGAGGTTTCTTGCAAGGATTAGTAACAAAGTCACATGTAAGCAAGAGATCAGCTTTACCTAAGCTGCTCCAGAATACAGTTTATATAGGCAAATGTTTCGGCTGGGTGCCCTGAGCAGCAAGGCCTGGCTTGGGAAATGCCACCAGTCCAGGTGACAGTGCAGTGCCTCCAAGGACCTCCGCATGCCCTCATGCTCATCCATGGGGACACCAGGCACCTCCCTTAGTGCTTCTCCCCCAGCATCCCCCTCCCCAGCTACCTGCACTGCACACCAGAGCAGCCCTAAGGGAGCCCCCCTGGGACCGGAGCTCCAGCACAGCCCCCCATCCCTCACAGGCCCTCCTCCCCCATCACCTTTCGCCACAAATGGACCTCAGCCACTCCTCACACCTTTACCCAGGCTGGGGAGTTTGATTAACTCAGCACACACTGAATTCCTTCTTTTTAAAGCGAGTTGGAAGAAAGGCAGAGAGAGAATTGAGCCTTAGCAAAATCCCGGGGACAGGAGGAGCCGTAAGATGGCAGATTCAGAAGTTTTTTGTCAGCTTCAATAAAACTCTCAACGGCCACAGAACTTTTTTTTTTTTTTTTCTGTGTTAATTTAATCATACAAATATTCATTTATACATCAAGGAAAAAGCTTCCTCTTTATTTTTCATTTTTTTTACCCCCAATGTGCTGTCACAGGACTTCTCCCAGACTCGATGAGGCAACACACCATCCTGTTCTACACATGCACTCCCCCCAGAGAGAACAGACAGGCTGCAGAACCACCACTCACTCACACAAGGAAAGAAATTAAACACACAACAGAAACCCAGACGTGGGACAGCGTGCATCCCCAGCCCTGCAGCTCCGGCTGCTCTCCAGCCCTGCAGCTTCGTCCCCACGCTGCAGCTCAGCGCAGCCTGAGCCCTGGGGCTGAACTCCGCTGTGCTCTGACTCCTGGGCTCTCGCAGGGCGCACGGCCCGCTGTTGGTGCCCAACACAGGGATCTGACTTGAGAGAGCGGAGATGTATTGCAGCTTTTTTCCTTTTTGGAGGGGCAGCGGGTGCCAGCCCCACTGGGCCGATGCAGCCTCCCAATGGTTTCTTTTATTTCTCACCAGCCCAAGCTCTGTGTGCACAACCCGCCTCGGCCGGCTCCTGTGAGCTGCAGCCCAGCAGTGGGGACAAACCACGCCGCTGGTTTCGCCTGCCTGGTGTTCGAGTTTGAACGCATCAGCCCTAGAGAAATCAATACGGATCCCCCCACAACACCTGAATATCTCAGACCTCTCTATTTAAGATCAGGAAAGCTGACAGCACGAGCAATTTGGGGGCTGGCTGTATCACTGCATTTCAAGGAACCAGAGGAGACAAAACCACCTTTGGCCTCAGAGAAACAGTTCTCACGAGAGGAAAATCCCAGAGGGTAGAGCAACCTCTAATTCCAACGTTCTCTCGCTGTCACAGCAGGGTTACAGCCCTGGCTCCCAAAGCATCTGCAGCTCTGCACCATCATTTGCAGAGGTCGTTCCCACAGATGAGGGCTGACGCTCAGCTCCCCAGGGCTCAGCTGCACGGTGAGCAGCACCAGGCTGCAGGTTTCAGCAGCACCTCAGCTCTGGCCCTGCCTTTCTGCACAGCCTGGAGCAAACAACTCTTGCCACAAGGACACCGTGGATTGAAAACGCTGAGGAGAGAATCCAGATCTGTGCCGAACAAGGATGCCTTCTGAGTGGGAAAGCACAGGGCTACGTGGGGTGCATCATGCAAGCTTTTCTCAAGAAAAGGAAGGTTCATTAGCAGGAGCAGCACAGGAACACAAGCTCGGCAGCCATTCTCTACACGACGAGCAGACGTGCCTGGGAGCAGAAAGCTGAAGCGGGGGGATCTGAGGCTCGAGGGTCTCCCAGCTGACTCAAGGCAAAGGTTGCAGCACCAGCTGCTGTATGAGGTCTAATTTCCTTCCCCTGCCTCCTTCCATTACACAGCTGACAAAGGGAGCTATAAAGATAAGGAAACACCTCATCATCTGGACAAACAGCAGCCTGCAGTGTTTTAGATGCTTTCAGAAGGGCAGTGGCAGTGTTGTAGATGTGATGGTCAAGTTCATGCCTTCAGAGCTTGGCACATTAACCACCTGCTCAGAAAGGAAGGAGCAGAGGCAGAATCCACTTGCCCAAGCTACAATGCAGCAAGGCAAACTACTCCCTAGACTGAATGCTAAGAGAATACAACTTCATCAGGGCAGAAAGATGGTACAGGACAAGAACAAAACACCGCAGTGGCACCAGGCAGTGCAGCACTACCTTCCACGGGCACATTCAGTCTGAACCTGTACCACTTACCAGCTCCAGCAAGCTGCTGACTGTCATGACACTGACACAGACCCAGGTCTGTTCACCAAACCACACGTGCTCCCAAAGGTCCAATTCTTCCTCTGCTGGATCCAGAGAAGACCCACCGTCCTCCACAAGAAGCACCTGTATGCTCTGGTTGGCAGCTGGAATGCAAACTGATCCCCCATCCACAACAAATCAAGAAAATGCCACGCACCAAGCAGCAGCAAGCCTGCGCTCTGCTCTGAAAGGAGTCTGCACCAGAAAGGTCAGGAAGAAGGTTGTGGGGTATTTGCATATCGTTGTGTCTTTGGCAGTTGGCTCTTCTGGCCTGCAGGACTCCTGTCAGTCAGTGCCCTGCAGAAGGAGCTGGGGGCACACAGCCCTCAGGAACCCACGAGGCCCCTCTCCCCCCTTCCCGCTGGGCTTTCCAATCAATAACTGCATGAAGATACACTGCAGGAACAGCAGAGCAACCCGTATCTTTAGAGGAACAAGTCCTCCTCTGGCAACAAGCCCTGGAGCCCGTTGGAAGGGTGAGAGCCTCCAAGCTACACAAGGATGATAAAGGCGAATGAACACAAGGCGACAGAGTGGAATCCAGCTGCTGATTCTAACTCTTGCTCTACATTCAAAACTGCAAAGATTTAGCCTCTAAGTAATGCTTCCTAACAGGAGAAAGGATTTCAAACTTATACTGCATGAGAGAGATGGGAGACTCAAAACTAACAAGGAGGTGACTTGCAAAGCTTCGCGACTACTGCCGAGTGAATTACAGCTACAGAAAAGTAGTTTCCTCTTGGCACAGGACCAGTACACTCGCTTGGTGGCTCTAGGCACAGCTATTGTACATCAAGAGTTAAGAGAAAAAAAGTATCTTAAAATGCTAACCACATAGAACAGCTCTGGAACTTTAATAGGTCTGTTTCTTATTCATAGGGTTGTGTATACGAGCACTTCACGTGCAAGAGGAAGGGAAATGAGCCCTCCTTTATCCTACCCCAGTCCCAGAGTCCCTCTCTTCAACTGTGATGCTGAGACCTGGTCCTCAGCAGGGCAACTGACAGCAACACTCAAACCAAAAGGAAACAAATGACGACACAAAAAGAATTAAGAAGTGGGTAAATAAAATCAGAAGTGAAATTAAAAACGCTGAGCTGGGTACAGACCCAACCCACCATTCAAACACATCCAACACAAAGAAGTCACTGCACAAACCCCCAGAAGATGCCAAGCAAACGTCCATCGGGTAACAAGCAAAACATGACAGTTCCACACAAATGCACGCTGTCCCTTATTTAAAAAACAGGAGAGAAACAAATTAAACATTTGCTCAAACTACAACCGCTCCGTAGGCAAAATTGCTTAAAAAGATGGCTTTTTCATTTCATTTTCTCTCTTAAACTTCTCAAGCTACCTAATTATCCTGTGTGAGAATGACTTCTAAAAAGAAAAAAAAAAAAAATCACGGTGTTGGTATAGTTTCCTTCTCATAGCATTAAACAGCACTCCTGAAATTCAGCATTCACACATGCATACTGAGATCTTTCCTCCGGAAACAGTCTTAAGTTATTGGGCTTTTTTTTTTTGTCTTCTTTATCCAGAACATGGAGGCAGAGAAGGGGGCTCCACGCCGCGTCTGTTTGCCACATGAATCCCCCTCTCCCTTCCCCCACAAGTCAGTTCTCTGTTAAATTCTCCTCTTGCCGATACCCGTTTTTGTGTGTGTGTGTTTTAAGACTGTCCGAAGGGATAAGGACCGTGGAAACCCTGAAAGAAAGTTGGAGACATGATCAATTTCAACAGGCAAGAAACAAAAGCGCTCAGCGCACGCCTACAAACAACGCCCATCCCATCCCAGTGCTGCTACGTGCGATCAACCCTTCACCCATCACAGCCACAGCCCCAGCTCTCCAGCCTCACGAAGGAGCTGCTCTCCCCTCTCACACCAGCTGCCATCCACTTACCTCCTCCAGGTGTTACCTAGGCCAGCTAACAGCCGGGCAAAACGCTTCTCAGGTGCTACAGGGCTAAATAAGTAACTGCTGGCAGCTCCTACACCAGAGCAAAAGCCATTTGTGGATGCTGCTGTCCTTGCAAGGCCAACAGCTGCAGTCTCACAAGTCTATTCTAAAGGTTACAACAAACAGGAAGGCCATAATTGATGGAAAAGCCCACTGAAGAAGAAGCAGTATTTTGATCTCCACATTCATCACAGGCACTTCTTCATGACACGCTCTTTTTCAAGTGAAAGTCAGCCACAACACTTAAGCAAAAAATTAAAAGCCTACAATGGAAGCCACTGTCCCCTCATTGACATTCTGAAGTGAGCAGCCTGACAGATCTAGTGACAAGCCTCCAGTTAGCAGGAGCTCCTGTCTTAATTCCCATCGTTCCCGATGAGACACTGGATTGCTGAACAAAGCAGAGAGCAGGCAGGCAATGGATCTCACAGATAAAGTTTGTCACAGTGATGAAGGTCAGAGCCACGCCAAACCCTCCCATAAGATCCAGGTATACATTGAGGTCAGAAGCGAGAGGAGGGAGGAAAAGCTTCTGTTTCACTATCAGAGCTGGAAGCTTTGTTTCTTCAGGCCGTCCCCTTGCTGCTTGCTGCTAAGACAGCTCAATGAGCACAGAGCCATCCTCTGTCTTTCAGGGAAGCTCTGACTTCAAGTTTTCACCGTTTCACCTTTTAACAGGAAAGATCTCAAAGGAAACATTATTTCCTGCATGTTCTGCTGCAGCTCCCTAACAACCTGCTGCATGGGCCATGAAATGATGAGCCTTTAACATGGCTCACACACAGCAAGCACCAGCTGCACCACCTTGAGATCCACTGCAAAAGTTCCAGAGCCCCACTGCGTATCCGTTACAATGCAGGTGCTATCAAAAGCCAATCATTTTGATACAGCTAGTGAGAAAAAAGTTAAGTCCTTAGGATATATCAGATGGCAAAATACAAGGCAGTGGTCAAATGAAGCATCTACCAGCAGCTCTCAAAATTCAGCCCAAAGAGGATTAGCAATTAAAGAGGACATCTTAAAAACTAACTGGGAAATAAGGGGAAAATAAAAGCAGAGAGCTGGAAATTGCTGTTTGTAGAGGGAAATGTGCACAAGTGATGGGAAACAAGCACACCTCAGCCCTAGGAATACACTGCATCCCCAGCCTGTGTTATCTCCAAGAGATAACACCCAGCAGACTGCACAACAGCTCGCCTCTGACAGCAGGAGCTCCCACTAGCAGCACAGAAATACCATGGCTGCTATCAACAGGAGGAAGAGCAGAAGGGAACCCGCATTAAAACAACGCGAGCAGGCACACAGACCTGCGCACAAATCGAAGGGCAGGGAACGAAAAGTGTTAAAAACACCAATCATCAACAGCCCCATCTCGAAGGGATTCAGCTCTGTACCTGCAGACAGAAGGCAGGATTTGCTCATTACCTGTACAGATATTTGCCAGGATTTGCTTCACCTTGCAGCTGCCCGCACAGCGCTTCGATTGCAGGCAGTGACTGCGAGCTCCCCCAGCCCCACAGCGCTCTGAGCGCTGCCTGCTCCCTCTGCTGGGCGCTGCCCGCTGCACAGCACAGCCCATCGCTGACATTCAGCACGGGCAGAACCTTTTTTTTGCTCATTTTCACTCCTCGCCTCACGGCACAGAAGAATTAACACAATTAATCAGCACACAGCACAGGCTGCTTTGCTTCAGTCAGACACGGGAAGAGTTCACCAGCCTTTCTGTGGGCAGAGGCAGCCCCAGCACAGCAGATATTAACCTTGTTTTCAGGGAAAGCCTCTGGAATTCCAAACACTAGATCACACAGCATGTACATTAAAGCTGAACTATCACACTAACAGCGTGTTAACTAAAAACAGGGGTTTGCTCATCTTTATGGCTAGATTACTGAGCACACAAGGCTTGGTGCTGCCTGCTACCCTGCACTCCACAGGCTGACATCTCCAGCTGAGCTCCTCTCCCTGTTGCAGCAGTGCTAAGGGCAGCCTCAGGACCCGACTGAGGGGAACTTCTCTGCATGCAGTGAATTTCATCACAAAGAGCCCAAAGTCTTTGGTCACGGGACCACCATAACGCAACACTGCATGTGAGGAGCTCTTGGTGGAGCTTCACTTACCTATGAGATTTATTAGGACATATCAGAAGTTACAAAGAGTAAAAGACTTGTTTCTTAAAGGCAGTGTCGACTCGGTTTGGCATCAGACCTAACAGCCCTCCTGCATGGAAGGAAATAATCTGTTTTAACTTAGCACTGATGGCAGGAAGCATTCGTTCAAATTCTTCTATTTCCAGTAGGGGAAAAAAAAAAAAAAAAAGAAGAAGAAACCCCAAATGATTCTAAAAGCACATTTCTGCATCCTAAAGCAGTTCGTTAAGCTCTGTGCTTTTGTGTTCTTGTTAAAGCCCGGGGACTTGGGTGGGAACAGACAGCAACGTGTCAGGAAAGGAGCAGCAATCTAAGTAATTGTATTCAGGTGTTTTTAGGAGCATATCCTGCCTGTGATTTCCTCCAGCAAGAAACCCTCACGCCCTTCTGCACAGGAAGAACACTTTGCTCTTCCTCAGCAAGGTGCAAGCTCTTTGCAGACCTCTGTTCCTCTTACATTTATTCAATGAACAGTGACAACAGCATCCTCGTACGTAAAGCCTGCAGTTACTGCTGCAAAGCAAATACCAACCTCCACTACAGGATGGTTCCAAGAATAATTATCCCTTGTATGCAAGATTTCACACCATAAACATGCAAAAATAATTCTGCATGCCAACGCAGTTTTCCCAAGTTATTTTAGCTGAGTGTCTCACCCTATTTTTGGTGAACTCCCTTCTATTCTCACAATGAGATGGCTGTCTTTATGAAAAGCTCAGCTGCAGCTTTGCAAATTTACTTTCAGTTCTTCCAGTGTCTTCCACAGAAGTAACTGCTAACTTGCTGGTGAAAGCATTCTGGCTATTAAGACAAACACGAGCACAGAGGACCCTGTTTTTTCAAGCAAACATTGCACATTAAAATTGTTTTAAGTAATCATTTGACTTTATTGTCTAAAAGGGAATTGAGATTGGGACAGTGAAATGCTATGCTCAGTAAATGCTATGGTCTCATGCTAGAAGAAAGGCCAGACAAGCACAGCAAAGCCTCCACATTCAAGCACAGCAAAGCCTCCACATTCACACCCACAGCACCTGGATGTGAGGAAATAAGCAGGAGAATCATTCAACTCCCTTTTCAAACAGACTTGTGAAAAAGCAGAGCCTTTTTAGTTAGCACTGAAATGAAACCAAGATTAAGTAAATCTTTCATAAACCATCACAACACAGGCTTTCAAATAGCTATCTTTATTTCACCTTTGTAACTGAGGCAAGCTCAAGACGAGGTACACTGAAGAGAGACAGGAGTTTGATGCAAGCTGCCAAGCACTACAGGCCAGTGGAGATGTACAGAGCTGAGGAAGGAACGAGGGCTCAGCTACACGATTAAGTTACCATGCAACAACCTTGCTCCTGTAACTTAATCAACGGCGTGCTTTTAGTCTGCAGAGATAAAAAGCAGGGAACTGGTGGCTTGCAATGGAGCACAGTGAAGCTAAAACTGCACTGAACCACATTTCCCACAGGCCAAAAGCACACGGACTGTTTGTTCTCATGGATGAGCTAACATGCAGCACCCAAACATGTTAGTCTTTCACCAGACAAACAAACCAGCTCATGCAACCCCAATTTAACCTGCATGTGCTGTGCAGCAGTGTGGCTGTCAAGGACTAGCTCCAGTAGTTCCAAGTCCAATATTCTCCCCTCTTTGCTCTGAATCAATTTAGCCATGTGTTAACCAGTCCAATTTAAAGCCCAGACCAGAACAGAAGGAGCTTCTTGTCTACACGGAAGTAACCACATTTCTTAGGCATCTTCCTTACCTACAAATATAGTTTGATACCCAAACAGGACTTTTTCTTTCCACTGGAAACTATCTGAAGGTGACAGAGGTACTCCAGAAACATGCCCATTAGTGCCCTGGTTTGGCAGAAGATACTTTCCAGGAGCAGCAGCAGCTTTTAGACTTGGAGAGGGGAAATCAGTGAGAAGGCTGTCAGGACAGAGGGAGGTTTGGTTTCCCCTAGGTATATAAAACTGCAATTTAGCACAGATCAGAGTTCAGCTGCACACAGAATGATGACGGGGAGCATAAATACAGCAAGGGAAATAAGGTGGCACTCTGAACTCCACATATGCTTGTATTACATCACCTTTCAAGAACAGCATGAGCAATGAACAGCACAGATTAGCATCGCACAACTGGTGGAATGCCTTTTGCAACACAGTGACAATGCAACTTGTTTTGTGTGGGCGAACCTTTGCAGCTCTGAACTTCCACATGCAGTTTTCTGCACTACAAGGAAAGCAGCAATACCTCAATTCACACGGGCAGGCAACTAAACTCAGCAACAGATTTATAGACTTCTATCATATAAGTGACAAATACAATATGAGTGTCAGTATATGGCTATCCACTTCAAATCTCCATTTAGACATTTAATCTGTACATTTCTTCGTTAAGGAATTTAACTCCCAGGCTCTAGAAGACTGCATCTTGTGCTTTTAATGTAAAAGACTGTCACAAGAGAGCAGCAGTGACCTCCACAGTGTTGCTATGAGACAGAAGCAAGTAAATAGAAGGAAACTATATTAGCCTCATCTCTCTTGAGAATACAGAGAGAAAGCGATGCCAAAGAGGAGAATAAAATACCCATGCATGGGTATATCTGGATTCCAATACAGCTCATCCCTGCCCTGAGATAAGCATCCTATCCTGCACTTAAAGCACGTTTGATTCTCAGAACATGCAAAAAAACTCCACTGGGAATAGATATAACAACATGCTTCAAGCAATGCCCTGAACGCAGACCCTGATCTACCTTCCAGCAGTTTATTTCAGAAGGTGAGCAAGATGGACCCAGGGAAGGCATACAGTACAGCAGGAATAAAGACCACACTCAGTTTCTTTCAATTGTGTCACAGGTTTCATCCTATCTGCCTACAGAACAGTCTTTTATCTCCCTAGGAAGGTTTGTTTCACTGAGCACAGCATCCACGCCATGTGCTTTGTGCTGCTGGAGAGAAGCTCTCTGACTGTTTCCACGTGTGGAACGTTCAAACACCAGCCTCATTCAGCAGCAGATGGCACATCAGCATCACAGAGATCCTGGCTCCACTGGGGAATTTTAGAGGACAAGTCACACCTGCTCAGCTGCACCAGAGCGAGAAGCAATGCAGACAAGGTCTGGCAACTTCCAGCATGTTTTACAACTGCAGCCACCAGGAACAGCTCGTCTCATCTCCAGGATTTCATGGTCTCATGCAGCTGCGTGGCTGGGATCCTTCACAATCCCCCTGCAGAGGGGAAGCCTTCACACCAATCTGAGAAATATGGAGGGCTTATAACCCTTTTAAACACAAGACGCAGGCCTAAACTGAACCTTAACCTCCTCCTTTACTGTATCTCACCAGATGCTGTGCTAAACGTGACCAGGGATTCAATCCACTATCTGGGGACGTGAAAGGAAATAAAGATATTAGAGGTTCTGCCCAGGTTAAATAAGATTCAGGTATCTTCTATCCAAGTATCTAGACAGCCAACCCACAGTAATCTTTGCTTCCAGATCTTGAAATCAAGCCTCTCACATCATTATTCTGTCACAGAACAGTGGCTCCAAATGCCACAGTTCTCCTTCTCCCATTCAATCAGCAGTCCAGGTCCAGGCTCCAGGGAGGAGGGGGAAGTGGACCAGCTGAAGCAGGCCATGAGACAGAGCTTCTACCCAGAGATAGCTGCACACCACCAGGTGTGCATCAGGTGGTTTAATACTTCTAACATCACCTCAACAAGCCCTTATCCACTTCAGGTGAGCCTCAGCTGCTCACACATTACTCCTTTTTAGGAAAAAAAAAAAATCTTCCCAAAAGCTTCAAATCTTTCTGGGAGAAAAGGAGGCACACAACAGTGCAAGACCTAAATCAGGAAGGCAAACGTGTTCACCAGACAGCCTAAGATGAGACCAAATATCTAGGATGTCAAAGCTACTGAGATCTGTTCACTACAGAGTTGTGCTGTACCACAGGCACTGCACCAAGGTGGGTATGAAATCTGGGGCATAATGCTTCTTGCCCTGGACAGAAAGGGCACGGCTGGAACAAGACTCATCTTCACACTTACTTTCAATAATTGCTTCCAAAACAAAAGCTAACTTGTTGTAGGTCACAAACAGAAAACACTGAGAGACAAAATACCTCATTAAAAAAAAAAAACAACAGATCAATGAACCTCTTGCACAGCCCATCCTCTTTCCAGAAGTCATCCCTTCTAAAAGTAAACAAGAAACAAGACTTACATCTACCCCAAAACCACCCACATGCTGTGAGGATAAGGAGGAACAAGACGAGAAGGAAGGCTGCCTAGCCTATGTCTGGGGTTAGGTTATAATGACTCATCCCATCAGAGCAGTGCTCATGAACTTTGGGTTACTAGCTAGACCAGTTCTCTTAAATTTAGCAAGAGCATCTTTGTAGTGCCGCAGTCTCTTCCCCGGCTTCCCTTCTCTGCAGATAACTGGCACATGCTACGTCCTCTGCATCTCCAATAGGCACGTTCCTTACTGTTAGAAAAGTCAAAATATTCTACTATTCCTCAGCCACGAGAGCCTGTTGATACACCCAACCTGCTGGCACTCATATCACCTTAATTTCAGTTGGAAGGGCAAGGAGTTTTCCATAGGGAGAGACCTAGTGAAAAAAAAAATATATCAAAGGCCACATTACTGCCAAAACCCCATTTCCAGGATTTCTGTGCAGGAGCTTTCTCTGAAGTGCATCTCTTAGCAGTTCCAAATCTATCCACCTGCAAGTGCAAATCAACTACAAAGCAATTGCCAAGTCCTGCACTGAGAGTACAGGCAAGGGGGGAAAAGGATTAAAAAAGAAAAGTTACCTCCAGTCTAAAGCTGACACCAAAACAGAAGGGAGCTCACCCATCTAAATCGAACCTCGTATTTAAGTTGTGAAAGGTTGATGCAACTCCAGCATTTCCAAGCTGTAACTCAGAACTCTCATCTCCATCCCCTCCCCACCAAACTTTGCTGGGATGTGTACAACCAGCAACAGCAGGGCAGCACCCTCCACCCAAAGCTCCTGAGGTGAAGTTCATGCAAAGAAACTTATGGATGCCTCTGCTAAGGCAGACAACAGCCCATCCATCCAGCAAACCCTGCTAGGAAAGCTTTCAGTGCCATCCAGCAGCTCTTCAACAGCAGTGACCTCCAGTCACTGTAAACCCAGGTTCTATTTGAGCTGATAGTGAAAGACTTTATTTGCACTTATTTTCAAAGCCATCCATTTCAGCTCTAGTGAGTGAAAATCCTGAAGCAGAAGCCAACAGAGCTTATTAAAAATTGATCTTTGGGGTGCAAAACACAAGGAGGAGGATTTGTAGCCTGACAAATAGTTATCCTCATGCATGCCACCAGTTAAAAAAATGCATAGCCCTGGTGCAAAGTAGGACACTAAAGTATGATCCACTGGTAGAGGACAGGGAGTTCATCCAGTTAGGAACTAAAGTGCTGTAGGTGAACTAACATTAGGGCTTTATTAAGTCATTCAGCAACCAAGTGTTATTGTCCTACACAGCCTGCTTAAAGTACAGTAAAGCATTTTTGAAGGATTTTAAAATCAAACTAGTTTGACATAAGACAGTACACACCTACACATACTGGCTGCATTAACAGGTGGATTCTGAATTGTAAATAATCCTGCAATTCATTTTTCACACACAAGCAAATAAAAAGTCAAAATATCACTCAGACTCTTATAGCATCCACCAAGCAAGCTTTTGAGAGAGGTTTAAAGTAAAGATAATTTAAAAGTCACCTACAATTATAAACAAGACAAGGACACAGCAATAGTCCTCTGACTGCTCCTGACCAATAGCTTCTGGGACCAAAGCACTGAGCTCTGCAGTCTCTCCACACCAGTTTAAAAAAACAAAACAAAACAAACAACAGAAGTCATCTGGTTAATCTCAAGTTTTGGAGGTGTGGTTATTTTTTCTCTTTTTAATTATGTAAAACTCAGGAACACATCTTGAGAGATATTTTGACTTATTTGCACATGCAGCTGGAATAGGCTCCAGCCACTGATAGTTACAGCACCCAGACAACATTATATAAACTTTAAGAAGGACTCGAAGCAAAAACAAAAAGAAAAGGTGGATCTGGTAGAGTCTATTAGAGGCAAAAGTATTTTAATATAACATGAGGAGTTGGCAGAGTCGGACAGTCAAATTCAAAACCTTCCTTAGCAGGTCTGGCAGAAGCAGAAGGGAAGGGCTTTGCAGTTTGTAATGAAGAACTATTACATACAGCACAGTCTCATCACCTACCCATTCTCCTGTTCTCCCAGGGCACCTACCTTACTGTATGTCACTACCGACAAGTTGTTCGAGTGACTGCTGGGGGAGAGATTTACAGAGTTTTGTGACAGTCCATTCTGATCTTGTTCAATTTGGTCAGGAGCAGGCCCCCACGTGTTTTTGCTGATTGTGCCTAGCTCAGAACCCCCAGGGTCTTTTAGGTTGTTTTCATCTGGTTGCCTGTTCTTCTGTGGAGAGGCGAACGGGTTAAAGTTTCCTTCTACCTTGCGGTGCGGTTGCGTGTTGAACTCCGTTTCAAAGGATGACAGCTGCTGTGTTACTCCTAGAAGTCCTCCCACTTCCACACTGAGGATCACCCAGATGACATCTGAGGAAGAGGAAAGACACCTGGGTCATAACTGGGTGGAGATTATGGAGATGGGGAGAGAAGGAGAAGAAAAACAGGACACAAATTCACTCCTTATAATAGGAAAAAAGATGGAATGCTTTGAACACAGAGCATCAGAAGCAGTGGCTAGGCACTAAGGGAGTGTAAACTTTCAAGAAACCCAAGGCAGTTTTACTGAACCTAAAGAACCAGGTTGGAACATAGAAAAAAAAAAGCTGACATGACAGCCTGAAACTCCATACTTCACTCCACCAACTGGATGCACTGAAAGAAGAAAACTGTAAGTGACTTTAACCAAGATTACACAGCAGGACTGAAACAAGAACCAGACAGAACCACCACCAATCTGCTCTGATGGTAAAGAAAAGGTAATTTTTTTTGTTTAGCATTAAAAGGTTTGGCTCTTAAAAGCCATACACACCAAGAAACATTGTTTGGAAAATAAATAGATTTACTGCAGTTCACATTAATTTATCTCTATTCTAGTTCCAACACGTCTCCAGCAGGTGGACACCTATCTGGACTGGTAAACTATTACACAAGTTTGCAAACTACTGGTTAGAATAAGAATGCCCATCAGTTCTTACATAACGTGTGTCTTTCGTACACAGATAAGATTGTTTTTCTTCTTACTAATTCACCTTGTACTCCATGCAAACACTAGGGCATATTCACATAAACCCATTTCTTGGTACATATCCAAATTCAATTCTACTGCTTTTTTTCCCCCTCTACCTCTCCATTAAACGTGCTGCAGTTCTGCTTTGCTGCACGGAGCTAGAAAATTAACAACAACAGCAATACCTAATCTCAGCTGATCTAATTACAGGACCTCAAGTGACATCATTCCGGTTCCAGCTTTCCCACAGTGCCAGCCTGCAAGGGGCTCTTCTGTGCTGTGACCAATGGTGTGGGGAAGGGAGGGAGGCAGCAGCTACTGCTGTGCAGTTTTACCACCACCACCTCCACAGACAGCTCTGATGCACTGAAACTCTCCTTGCAGTCACTCACCACGTGCAAGGCGGCTCGTTAGCCCGCAGTTTGTAACCCAATTAAGGACGGTGAGATCCCGCCCTACACAAGCTGCTCAAGGAGCACAGCACGCTGCGGGCACCCAAACCCCACACAGCACTTCTGGCTCTCCCTGCTGCAGGCCTGACCAACACCCAGCCAGCAGGCACAGCAGGCACAGCAGCCCTGGGTCTCCCCTTCCTGCTGGATCTGAGCTCAGGAAATAAGCATCAAGCAAAGGCAGCTCTGATTCTAAGCTTACTTGCCAACAAGGTTTTAATTAGCAGGCGGTTTTCTTTCAAAGTGTGGAATTTGAGGAAATTTAGTGAGATCTTAAGCTGTTTGTTTGTTGGCATGTAGGAAAGCCTTGGATTAATAAACACACAGGCTGGTGGCAGGCAATGCAAGTTGAACAGGCCTTTCTACCTTCCAACCTAATTTATGCACACCTTTCAAGGACAAGTTACATCCACTCACTACACAGCAGAGCCTTACTCCTGCTGACAATTCTGCCAAAGAAATGGAGCAAGGAGTTATTTTTGACTCCCAGCACTAACATCTCTCACTCAGAAGCCATGTACTTGGGACACTCCCAACTGCCAAAACAGACACAAAGCTGTTCTCACTATAAACTACAGCTGGCTAAAAATGACTGCAAGACTCCAAATGAATGAAGATGCTAGTGGCTCAGCCCAAGGCATTGCACAGAATTATCAAGAAGTGATTTTTAAACACAGAAAACCAGTTCACAGTAGATGTTTACCAAGTTTATCTATTAAAACTTCTCCTAAACTTGTCAGATTGGGTTTATGCCATTTAGATGTTATGTTTGTATGTAGTTTGTGATGATCAGCACTGAAAAACTTGAAAGAATTCTGACAGGATAAGAGACTCCAGCAGAACCGTACCAGTTCCTTTGTTTTTAAGAGCTTTGTGTCATCTGCAATTTGTGCCAGTGTTTAGAAAACAGCTCTGTGCTGACCAAGACAACAAGGCAGCTCACTTGATGCTTTCTCTGCTTTCTATTTTAGTCTCAGAGCTGGCAGACCTCCCTACCTTTCTGCTTTTAGTCAAAGCTCACTGAAGGCAAGCTTTCTGTCTTTCAGACCTGACTGCAGCACTGCCCACCAGACCAGCAGAGCACAACATTTTCAATATGGAAACCAAGGTCAGAACACAGCTGCTACTTTTCATATCTTTGCACAGCACAGTGTCACATCAACAGCAATTACAATCAATCACACAAAGATTATGGGTAGATTATCACTTTGTTATCAGGGGAGCGTCTGCAGGGGAACAGGAGCACCTTTTATGATGGGAATATCACAAAGAAGTGCCAGGAAAGGCACCACTCACCTCCATAATACAGTCCTGTGGCAGTGCACATCCGCCACTGTCCCTGATACATTCCTGCTGTGCTGGGGCTGCACATCTGAACGCTGACATCTGCAATCTCCTGGGGCTCCAGGGACCGGACCATGACCATGTTTACGTGGCCAAACTGGTCTCCCCCAACGTACTTCAGACAAACTCCTGGAGGCCAGACCTCTGTCCCTGGGATTAAGCAGAGCAAAAAAAATGAACATAAATTAGCAACAGTGCACCAGGAAAAGGCGTTGTGTGCATTTCTATGAGACTGGGTGAAACACTTCTTAAAACAGCTGTGCAACTGTTGAACAGTTAAAGGAATACCAAGATTTATGTATCACAGCCAGCAGTGGATACAGAAGAAAACAGTTTTCAGATAAGGTTTAACTGGTCTGCTTTGCGACCAGCAGGCAAAATCACATTCCTATAGAAATAATCTCTAGCTCTTCATTATTCAGGAAAATCCTCAAAGTCACAGTGCAACAGCTGCAAAAGAAAGAAAGAAAATCAACACAGCTGACATTCACTTCATACTACAGACAAAGAGGTGAGACATTTTTCTTTTCCTCATTTCTGCCTCCCTACATGTAGCTCCTGAGGTTTCCAACATCAAAACATATGCTATTATCTCAAAGTGCTGGAAGCATTTTCTTTCAGGCATTCACTCCTTTTTCAGCCTGTTAGTCTCCAGAGAAACTCACACTCTGAATTACAATTGAAGAGCTAGCACTGTTTTTTAAAAGGATTTGCACCCCTTCCTGCACCAACTCTTCTCTCAGCCTTGCAAAATGGTGGAAATGATTGCGAGCATCTGATTTACTTGTGGAGAACAGTGTTTAGACTGGAGATACTGGGAGTGACAGTGTGAGCTGGCAATCTGGAGAGATTCAGAAAGCAGTTACTGCATGCAAACACAGCAATTTCCTCCAAAGATAACAAGAACTGAAGCAAACAAACAAACAAAAAAAGCTTAGCAGAATTTTCTTTTGCTTCTTCTCTGATTTGTGGCAGGCCAAAGACTTTCAGAACACCTTCTGCTTGGCTAAGGTTGTAGGAAGCAGTTAATTGGAGGAACCACCAAGACGCTTGGAACCACTCAAAGTCTATTCTGAGGCCAGAATGGTGGATGCTGATCTGACCTCAGGTTACCTCCAAGAGCATCCTGCAAAGGATGCAAAACAGCTTGTCTGCTAATTTAATCCCTGTGGATGCTTCAGTGAAAACATGGCAAGGAATAGCTCCTTAGTAGAATCCTTATTTATGGGACTCTCCATCTAGCAGGGAAAGAAAGATGTGAGCTAATAACACTGGATGTTCAGAGTGGAGAACACACTGCTACAATTGGAAACACTGCAGAGACAGGGAGGTAACTGGAAGCGAAAAGCTGAGTGATCAGCTGATCTCAGACTAAGGCATGGGGGAGTCAAGTATGAAGTCTCCTCTGACAAGGTTAGCAGCCCAGCAGTAGGGTTTAAACTGTGCGACTTTTATCAGTTCAGGATCGAAGATGCCTAGAATGCTGCAATTAATAAGCCCCATAAAAGGAATCAAAAGGAATTAATCATAGAATTGTAGGAGGCTGGGAAGGGCCTCCAGAGATCAAGGCCAAGCTCCCTGCTAAAGCAGGTTCTCTACAGCAGGTCATACAGCAGACTCCACAAGCTCTCTGGAGGATCTGTTCCAGCACTCTGTCACTCTGACAGCACAGAATTCTTCCTTGCATCATATGGAACTTCAGCTCGATGCTCCTTGTTCTACTGCTGCTCACCACTCAGAGCCCACATCCACCAACCTGACTCCTGCACTTTAGGTGTTTAGAAATAGTGATCAGATCCCCCCTCAGCCTTCTCTCCTCTAGAAGGAACAGTCCCCGGGATCACAGCCCTTCCTCATACAGGACATAGTCCACACCCTTTGAACATCTTTGTCCCCTCCACTGGGCTCTTCTAGGAGATCTCTATCTTTTTTAGAACTGGGGAGCCCAGAACTAGACACAGCACTCCATATGTGACCCCAGCAGGGCACAGCAGAGGGGGAGGATCACCTCCTTTGACCTGCCGGCCATGCTCTGTACAGTGCAGCCCAGGACATCGTTGGCCTTCTTGGCCACAAGAGCACACTGTGGGCTCACTGCTCCTCCCCAGCAGGGCAGTCCCTCCTGTTACTCCTCCCCAGGTGCAAGACTCTACACTTGTTCGTGTGGAACCTCATCAGCTTCCTCCCTGCCCCGCTCTCCAGTCCATCCAGGTCTCACTGAATGGCAGCACAGCCTTCCCGTGTGCCAGCCACTCCTCCCAGCTCTGGATCATCAGCAAACTTGCTGAGGGTGGACTCTAACCCCCCATCCAGGTCACTGATGAAGATGATTATGCCATTCTATTTCAGTACACTCATCTGTCAGGAGATGATGAATTGCAGTAACTGTCCTGCATGCAGAGCCAGCAGCAGCTGGGGGCAGAGTGGGAAGAAGAAATACAACTTAAATTCTGCTTGTCTTCTAGCACTGCTTCTATTATACGGCCTGGTCTTTGAGCAGACATGCCAAGCACCATCCTGGAAGATATCAGAGCAGGGTATTAGTTTTCTGTAACATAAAAACCTGACTGAACCTGGCTTACTGCTTGCGTGCCTAAAACTGACAGCCTCCCAGAGCTGTGCTTGTCATACTCATCAGACACCGAGTGCTTGGGTGACACATGCCTCAGGTATTTCTTGTTCTAGGACTGAAATCATTTAATCAAGGGCTCCTGTAGAGCTGTTAAAAACCTTGGCTTTACTTCAGTTATCTGCCTAACAAGCAGATATTATCTAGAAACACCATAGTCTTTTGATATTATATCTTAATTAAACCTCAAAATGGTTTTAATATGCCCTGGTTCTGCTTAAACTGTAGTCACAACACAGTATGTGGAGGTGCATTTAGCTAAAACATGCCTCAACAGCGTGGTTTTAACAAGATTTGGCCTCCAGCACCAGTATTCAAGCACAGATGTACTTTTAACAAGTTGGGCTTTAACCCACACAGAAGCCAAAACAAATTTTGGCCTCGCCAGAAGCTCGTGAGTCCAGATGAACTTCTTTTCCTCATTTCAGCAGGCCCATGGATTTCAGAAGGTCAAACACAGCAAACAGTGAAAAACAGCTTGAACAAGGATGTTAAATTAAGGCTGAATTTGCATTCAGGAAAGAATACATCAGAAGAACAAGAGGAGGAGGAGTCTGAAAGGAGCTATGTAGGGGGTGCAGTCATAACCCATACAGTTTAAGATACTAATAGTGGAGAAACAAGATCTGTCAAGCTTACTACATTTTAAGACTTGTTTGAGACAGTTACAAAAGTTTTCCAGTCAATTTTGTACGTTACAGGAATTCAAGTAAGTTCTGTTACCTTTCTATTTTACTAAGTCAAAAAAGGCAGAAAAAAATTGAAATAATTAAATCCTTTTTCTAGAATATGATGCTTAAAAATCAGTGTTCTTATATGCACACTTCTCACCTCCAATATCCTGATTAAATACTTAGATTTTTAATGGGGTTTTAGTCTTTGTTGCATTTTGGTATTTAGCACAAATCCATACAGCATGAGTACTGCAGCCATTTTCAAGTCAAGACACTTGCACAGCTGTGTGTTACTCATGATGATTCATGGTATCACACCTTGTCATGCTATCATTCTTCTTCACAGAAGTGCAAGCAGGTCAATTAAATTCAGACACACAGGTTAAACATTCATGCAACATCCTGTCATTGCAGCAGTCAAAGATGAGGTGTTCCCCTCTGCATCCTCAGATCTCTGACTACATCCCTAAAGATTAAGCAGTTTTGCCAAGTCTCACTTCCAGACGGCAGCCACTGCTTTGATTTATTTCATTCTGGAACGTGCTCTCTCCATCTCTGCATTCTCCTAAAGCATGAAAAAGCCATTCTGCCAAAGGTGTATTAAAAAGTCAAGGGTGTCTGCCACACAGCTGCCTCTTCTCAGATTGTGGCATCTCTGCATCCACAGAGAAGGTTAACACTGAGAGCCCAACCACCAAATGGCAGGCAATCAGAAAACAGAGTAATGAAACATAGTGGTAACGTACACAGGCCAGAGCTGAAAGGCTTCAAGGTTTACAGGGATCTCTCTCTTCACCGACTGAAAGGTGTCAAGTGAATTTGTCAAGTGGGCATAAGGCTACTTAAGGATTCTCAACCTATTTTCAGATTTAATTTCCATTACAAAGAGCAAAACAAGAGAAGTACTTCATTTTCTATTTATATGCCTCTTCTTCCAAAAGTTTCCTAGAGCTTTTGTTTCTGTGAAGACAGCTCCACATCCAGCCGTAGGAAGGGCAATGCAGGCAGGCCAGCAGGCGACCTCCTTCAGCAGCAGCCTGGCTTCATTCCAAGGTAGGTGCACGTGAACGTTCTGCCTTAAGCAACACCTCCTCCATTAGATCTGCCACCCTATCACATAATACACTTTACATGGGCTTTGCTTGAGTCACATAGACTTACCTGTGTTTTGTATCCTCCATGTTTTTGTAAACTGGGTGTCAGGAGGGATGGACTCTCCTTCACCTATGGTGACATCTTCAACAAAGGACATGGAGGGTACGTTGATGTTTGGACTCTCAAAATCATAATAGGCTCCAATGGCTGCTTGTAGATTCCTGGAAAGCAAAAAGCAGCTTAGAATCTTAAGCACAGGAGGGTCGGGGTCTGACAATTAAGTATAGATATTATCCAGATTATATCAGCTCTGCTGCTTGCACTTTCCTAAAGCTTCCATCACTATCACACATGGATTTTCCAAGCCATCCAAATCCAACACACAGCATTTTACTTCCCATGGACGCTCCTACAGAGCAACATTTCTAGCCTGATTCTCATTTTCTTTGTAAAACCTGGAACTTCAGAGTCTGTAAGGCCTTTGAGCCATTAGCTCTCTCTTGAGACCTGACAATAAGCTGAAAGGACAGTGAGGTTAAGTGTTGTGCACCACATGTAAGCAGAGCCGCTTCCTTACTGGCCTTGTTTCCTGGGCTAATCTCAAGACAACTGAAATTCTGTTTTATTTTGGTGTGAAAGGTCCAAAAGACCACAGAATGAACACACTGATAATTCTGAAGGCTAAAGAGAATCAGCAGCTATGGAAAATAACCGAAGCTTTGCTGCTTTTGAAACGTACGGTCATAAAAGCTATTTATTAATCATTAGGTGTCTCTGGACAGTCATGGCTCAAAGGAACTCACAAACCATTGACACCAGCATTCTTCCTGAATAAAAACAAATGACAGCGGAAGTCTGTGATGCATTACAGACATTCAGAAAGCCACAGATGCTATTGATTCATGGTCACGGTGTAGCAGAAACTCAAACGGTAATTAATCTGAAAAGAGGAACAGTCAAACAGGAAGAGGATCCATGAGTCTCAGCTGCCATTCCACGATATACTACTGTGCCATTATGTAAGTGTCTTGGCAAGGCATGTAATTCCTCTGTTTACGCATGTCTGGGAGGTTGTGGCCCTACTTTACATGTTGTGAGTAACTGCTGGGAGAATGGAGATGAGTGAAATCTCTCCAGAAGCGATGGCAAAGCAATTGCTTTTTTATTCGTAATTACAGAGCTGCTCTGTTGTGTTTGCTTTTTTTTTTTTAAAGCGAGACAAGAAAACCTTCCAGAACCAGGAATCACCACCTAAAACAAAAGACACATTGGAGAAGCTGCAGTAGATGGGAATGGTGATTTATTGTGGGTTAGTATTGTTTGGTGGAGTGTCATGTGTCTAAACCAAAGCCAGAAAGCCAAGGCGAAAACAAGAAAAACATTTGCAGCATGACCCTGAGAAAAAGCAAACACAGGGCTTTTTGGACTGCCTGCCAGCTGGAAAGAGCCTTGAAACGGTGAGCAAAGGAACTCCTGTTCAATTCCTACAGTGTTCAAGGCAAAAAAAAGTCATAGGGAGACATGGAGTAAAATCAGAAGCGCATGGGAGAGAAGCATGGCTGACTGCTGCTCACACGGGAACCCAGAGGCACCCTGTTGTAAGACTTCCACATTTACAACTCCGCATTTCGGACCAGCAGTCATTATTCAGCCTGAGGCATTTTCTACTTAGGAGTGTCAGGGCTATATTTAAACAGACAGCTCAGTCCAGTGCTGCAGGAAGGCTGCGTGCCACATTAGCCAATAAATAGAGACAAATGCTCTGTTTTACATCACTGACCGCCTGTTGCTGATACACCACACCAGATTTACATAACTTGCAGAAGGGCTGTGCCAGGAGACTCCTGTTCACTCAACCAGCTAACACTACAGCCTAGAGTTCAGTTTTCACTTTGATTTCTTCCTGCATTACAGCAATCCAATGCAAAAAGTATTGCAAGAAGGATAACAGCCAGCAATACAGCTCTTTCTCTTCCTAATCCACCCAGACATACCACATTGCACGCTACAGTGCTGGAATCAGTAGAAATGACATTTTCTTGACATTAAGAAAGAGAAAAATAAAAGTTCCAAGGGGAAGGTTGCTGCTGTAATCCGTTGTAAGGCAGCCTGCACCACGTTTTGTTTGCTTGGCTGTAAATACGCTTCAAAGGTAGTGGGCTATTTGTGCACATAGGCTCTCTGCCAACTTTCTTCCCCTCCCTGTGTCATATTTCACTGCTTGCTTTGCCATTGGGAAACAACCCCAGTCCTCCGCAGCATATAGCTAGCTGTTAACTCAAGAAGAGTACATGCTAAAAAACAGATTTGCCACCCTTCTGTGATCACATATCACAAAGCCACCTCCCTGCTCCCACTGTTTTGATCAGCGTGCAGCGGGTTTGGGTTGGGGGTGAACACTTGGGTGCGTTCCAATGCACAATGGCCTTTTTGCTGGAGAACTAAGAGGAAGCTTCCAGAAACCAAAGAGAAATCGAAAGTAACAAGAGCCAAAGTCAGGATGACAAAGCAAATCTGACTGAAGTTCAAGTTCTTCAGCACAGGCAGCCCAGAGAGATGCCACCGAGCGGCCGTCCAGCACCGCGCCGCCGCAGCAGACACAGCGCTCACATTTTAGTCATGCTCTCTGCTTACACAACCAGCAAAGAAAGCAACCTATCACTGCTGGCTTTGTTTCTGCTCTTTCCGAGCAAGAAAACTCAGGTATCAGTGTGAATGCAGCCCTTTGCTCGAGGGCCACGTCCAGAGGTCAGAGCTGCAAAACGCTCAGCCTGATTACTCACCCGTTCCCCAGGCTGCGTATCAGTTGTAGGACTGAACGCTGCTGCCTTTCTACTGTAAGCACAGTGTTTGTGGGCTTCACAAAGAAAGGCTGCTAAGGAGACTTTGAGGTCACAGACGAGTCCCTGAAGTTCGCCTATATATATTTGCTGTTATTATTAGGTCTTTACCCTCGTGCCCCAGATACAACTGCAGAACAGCAACTGCAGATCCTCCCGGGAGGGGAACGAGGAGTTAAAACTAAAGAGGAAGGAGGGATCATTTGAAAGCTGCTGCTTACACGTTAATGCCAGCCTGCTTTCACTCCCAGGTGTGACTTGCACCACACTTACCCCCTTTGCTCCCTGCCATGTGATATCAATTACTATTATAAACCAAACTACTTTGGAGCTGTAAGATGAGCATGCCCAACCCAGCCCGTGCAATTTACACGGCTGATCTATCCTAATTACAGGGATGGCCATATTTCTGTCTCTTTCTCAGCACAGCCCTCCAGGTGTCATGCTCTCCCAAATGAAGCAATCGGGCTCTTCCAGGAGGGCAGCAGGGCTCTGCCATGCTCACACAGCAGGTCTGGCAGGGTTTTACCTCGGCCTCCCGCAATCAGAAATCACACAGCAACAACGCGAGCCTTCTTACCACCAAAGCAGAGCTCTGTTTCAGTACTGAGGGGGGGGAGAAGGCAGCAAATTGTAGCTTCATATCATCAACCAAACCCACTCCAGCTCCGGTACCCTGCTCCTTCCTCCCCAAAGGCATCACAAGTCTCAGGTAGCGCGTTGTTCCCAGCGAAGAGCTACCCACACAACGGGAGAAAGTGTTCCTTTGCAAGTCCGTTTTCTGCTCCGCCGTTTGGTTTCAGGCCTCAGGAGCTAAATTACAATAGAAGTTAAAACCTTCCCTGCTAATAGCGCTGGAGATGTCCCTTAACAACTCTTAAGTGTTTGCGAAGAGGCGCTTTATCTCGAGCATTCTCTCCCTTCCCATGTTTCTTCCAGACAGCCTTTTGTTATGTTAAACCAATATATTTAGACAGTAATTACTCCCAATTAACTAGGTCACCGCGCAGAATTCAAAAATAAAAGGAACTCTTCCAAATCAATTCAAAAACCAGAGCACTCTTCATACAACCGAACGGCGGTGCAAGGGAAGAGCAATATACGGGTAATTGGAAATGATTTTTTTTGCTTTTAATTGAATCCGATTCCTCATTACGACAAGGAAGAAATCGTGGCACTGAGACTCGCTCACATCGGCCTCGAGCAAAGCAGAGTAGACGCAGGGAATCGTATTTGGGTTTGATTTCCAACCCAGCAGCTTAGGGAGCCGAGCTATGGGAAAATGGCCCCGTACCGCCGGCTGATGCTCTAAAGCACTTGTTGACACAGGAATTACACTCCAAAGTAACTGTTACAATAGAAAGCAACGACTTGATAGTTCAAGTTTCAACTGTAAGTCTTACAGGAATCTAGAAGCTTGATTTTAAAGTCTTTGATGAACCCAAGTCAGATGAAGACAGCCCCGAGTCCTCAAACACGGCACGCAGATTTTGCTCCTATGGCTCCTGGCGCCCTTTGCCAGCCATAGAAGTGGACGTTCTTCCAGCACTGATTCTCCTGAGCCGTCAGGAAAAAAACAAAGGTCGCCCTTCCAGTGCAATACCAATTTAGCCTTCAACTTCAGATCTCACACCGCACGCAGCACTTATATCACAGACAGCAACTTGAGGACATTTATTAAGTCGAGCAGAAAGAACTTTGACAAATGGATTCGGCTGCAGATGGCTGCAATGAACTGAACGCCAGGTTCCATTTCTCTCCCTCCGAGCAGCTCCCCATTGAAAGTCAGCTGCATGGCCTCAGCACTCACATGCGGCAGAATGCCTGCTGTGCCCAAAGCAGCTCAGGGGTTACCTCCCAGAAAGACGTGACACAAAGGCTAAATGATACAGAGCACAATGACAGTAACATACGGCCCTGTGTAGGAGGCTCTGAACTCTTTCCATAACCGAATTGTCAAACTTTACAGCTCTTGCTCCTGCTGCCTAAATGCAATATGCAGGGCAGCACCATAGCACCCAACGAGGCATCTGTGTTAAAAACCAAGCATGCAAGAGAAGCAATGCAACAGGTGGATCGTTTCTTTCTCCTCAATAATGGATCTTCTTTACACAGTACAGGTGGAAGAGACTGAAAACAGACGTGCAACACATCCTGGTGAGGCAATCCTCAGGCCACTCCTTCTGCTTCTTCATATCTTCTTTGGAACTGGATTGACCAAAAGAGCTTCTGCAGTAGGAAGCACCTTGAAGCATTAGGGAAAGCTGGAGAGGAGCCAGAATCATCACACCCCACGAAAGGCACCTTTACCTGCACTTGGCTTCAAAGGTTGTCGATAGAGATGACACACGGCAATTAAGGGGGAAAAAGTCCCATGACAT